AGGTACCCCACATGTCATATGTGTGAACTCAGATGTGTATTTACCTATAGAAACAACTTTAAGTAGGATTCAAACCAATTTAGAACTGTTGCCGAAAGTGCCACCCAGTAATAACTCCAGGTTTAGATGTGTGATGAATGATTCATAAAAACACATTTCTACTAACAACCTATATATCTGTCATCGTTACTAACCTCAATCAAGTATTCAACATCAATGATGCTGCAGTTAGAGATGGTGAGGGATGCAGAAGAGGGAATAGTGAGCTTAATCACAGTGCGACGGTCAGAGATGCGTTCACTGACGAGTTGTCCAGTCGAGGACGTCAATTTCTTGACATGCATCCTCCTGTGGTTCTTGTTGTGGGTGTAGAAAATCTGTTTCTGTTGCAGTGACACCTTTGGAGTGGCTGTTCGAGATGAACCATTAACAAACTCGCAAATGATCTTCACAGTTTCACCTGGAAGAAGAGCAGACAGTGTTTGGTTGTGATGTTTTTAGCCAGCAGTTTTTATAAACGATATTGAATGTTAAATTATAATAATGTGTTGATGGAAACACTACCAGGCATGAAGCCCTTCTTCTCTATACTGGCTGTCATCTCGATAGGACCAGAGGTACACCAAAGGCAGCACACCGTCATGCTGTTGGAGCCCGAGAGAGGAGCCTGCAGAGACACAGCATTAGCATGCATGAGCAATGAACATGATAATAAAAAGAAGAAAAAAAGAAGAGGACACAGAAAAAAGGTCAGGCCTTATAAGTACTATGTACAAATAAGTCAACCTGAGCAGTTCAGGCAAGCATACTTAACCCTATTACTAGCAGGAATTTATACAATAACTGGGTTGATGGACCACTGTGTGTGTGTGTGTGTGTGTGTGTGTGTGTGTGTGTGTGTGTGTGTGTGTGAGAGAGAGAGAGAGAGAGTGTGTGTGTGTGTGTGTGTGTGTGTGTGTGTGTGTGTGTGTGTGTGTGTGTGTGTGTGTGTGTGTGTGTGTGTGTGTGTGTGTGTGTGTGTGTGTGTGTGTAATGTCCTAAGCACTCCACTACGTATTGCAGCTGTATACATTTTACAGAATACAAATACAAAACCCTCCCTGTCCAGTGAAAACCATGCATTTCTGAATATGGTGATTCCTGTTAATATCCTCATGCTAAATAAATTATTAAAACAGTAGGCCTATCTCAAACCAGATATTGTTTTTTACATGTTTTTTCCGGAGCCCCCTGTCAGGTTAACATGATCATGGATTACTTACATGCAGCTCTGGCTGGTTGGTATTAATCCGGTTTACAAAATTACACTCTGTCACAAAGTCTTTGGACATATGCCAGGGTCTGTGGAGGGCCACTGTCAAGTTGTACGCTATGTGTCCACAAACCCCATGGAAGCTGGATGGGAAATTCCTGTATTAATATAAAATAACAATAAAAAAGAGGAAATAATGAGAAATTAAGCAATGTAGAAACAAGACATTTAAAATAAATAGTTGCAATCTCAGATGTTAAAGATAACCATTCCAAATGATCTAAATCACATGGTAGACAACAATATTATTAGGTTTAGATACCAGTCGTGCTTCTCAATAAATGTATTTCAATCTAAACCACCATGTGAACCCAAAGATTATCTGTAAAAAACAGAAGGACAAAGTCACGTGATCATCAGACACACCCTTGCGGGAACTGGCATGTAAACGGGTATACATGCGTGCCAGCCTTGAATTTTGCAGGCCTACCGGCAGTAGCTGCAAGGAGAAAACAAACAAGAGTGACTTTACTGAACAACGACTAGTTGTATGAAATGTTGACATGCATCCAAAAGGCGTTCATGTGCGCCTACCACTGTTTTGTTGCACGATGACACTTTTTAGGTCAAAGAAGTCCAGTTTTGCGGAATAGTTTCTCCGTCTTCGCTTTTTTCCACCTCCGGTAGACCAGTGCACATTTGCCTTTCCTGTCAGTGTCATCGTGATAGAACTGATCTTCATTTCCTTTGTGAGGTCAAATGAGATGTGTCCTGTAATCACATCGCCACTGGAGAACGTATTCCTTTGATTTAAAGCGTTGAAATTGATTTTGAAGTTCTTCACCGTGTCCTGAAACATGGTTCAGAGTAGACCGGAGTTAAAAAAAAAGAAAAGCCAAACAAAAACAGTCTCCTGAAAAAGGATGATCTCCAAAAGTTTCCCAGTAGTTAACGTATATTTGGTTCGTAGAAAGGAGTTCAATATCACCGATTTAAGAGTTAATTCGCAAACCAAAGCCACAGACAGTTGGCATCGACAATAACATGCATTCAACAAACTGCGCAGGCGCACAACATGCATAAGGGAAGCCCATCCCTGTTATCGGGTGGGAATATCATTGGGGAGGAGGAGGACCATACCATGGGGGGGGGGGACCATGGATGTGGAGTACTGAGGAAGTGACAAAAGTAAGTGATTCAGCCAAAGATGCTCTCTAACTTTCTAACCAGGGGAGTTCAAACTGCGGCCCATTGTCCATTTTGAAATTGCCCTCAGCAGTGTAATGGCTTTTGGCCCACACATGAAACTTGTGCTTTTGTTATGCTGTACTTCTTAAATATATATGTAAAAATATATAACACAGTATTTGTGTGTTAATAAGCGTAGTTTTCAAATAACTTCAGTCAATCTCAGTTGATAAAAAAAAGCCCAATAACCATATAGTAAGCTAGAAATATGCCCTTCATATTTCCCCTAAGCAATCCGAGGCTTCTGTTTTAAGAAATGAGCTGCCAACACTGTTTGTATAAAAAATAAATGAAACCCTATGGAAAGCTGTGATGATGGCTGTTTTTTTCTTAAAGCATATTCAATAATCAAGCATAGTTTGCTTACATTTGATTGATTTTGCTAACTTATAATTTAACTTATGAGGCAATATACCTCACCTGAGTGGCCCAGACCTATTTCTGTACGCAGCCCTCAGTGAAAAAAGTGTGGACACCCCTGGTGTAAACTAACATTTACAAGTACATTTACTCAAATACAATAGCCCTAACCCCTACCTAAAGTACATTGTACTTAACTTTAGTATGTATTTCCTGCTATTTCTATGCACCACAATTCAGAACGTAATTCAGTTAAGTTTTGTTTTTTATAATGGTTAATAGTATAAACATGTCTTAAGCATGATCTGGTTAAAATCATTATGATTAGAAGAAAGAGTGTTTGCAAAAATTGTAAATGATTGTGGTCTAAATGTCTTAACAAGAACTGAGGTGTATACACTGAACTCTTAAGACATTATTTTAGGATTTTGCCACGGCAAACAATTGCTATTCATTGAATATATATTGGCATCTCATGGTTGAAAGAAAATATACAAATATAATAAAAGCTATTGGCATCCCTTGATTATGGCTAAGTGAGAAGTGTGTTCTCTTTATAATTTGGGTGAACTGATCCTGTAACTGTTCAACCACCAGATGGCACTAAATACCTAATATAACACACTAATATCATTCTGATGGTCACGATGCATCATAAACTATACAGAACTTACTGAAAACACAACTTGTCATTACAAACATAGTTGCCATGTTTCTTCAGGATGCAGAACAATTATTTCAGAACAACTCCTGGAAAAAGCTTCACAGCACTTTGAACTTAATGTTTTGTAATGCTGAAATAACAAATGCTGCCCTTTCATAGGTTTATGATACACAATACAGCCATAAAGTGCTGATCATGACTTATGAAAACTGACAGCATGAAGCACATAAACACTGCTGGCACAAGTTAACTTGACCGCATATCTTTTCATACCTGCTCTATTCGAGGGAATATGAGATATTGTTTGCATTTTGTAAACCACTTTATTAAGCACGTTCAGTAGTAGTATATTTATTGTGCAGGAATTCAGGAATGTTAAGTTTTCAAGAAGTCATTTCCTTTCCAGCAAACTTCTAGTACAAAGTTTTTAAAACCTCAATCCCTTTTTTTATTGTAATGATTATAGCTGCCAAGTGTTTATATGTGTTTGACATGACAGCTTGTGATACGTAAATAAGAATCTTGAGCTTGATGTAGTGCTTTTAATGCTTTGACCATTTTGAAACGGTAAAATGTAAAAAGCAGACGTCGCTTGAATCAACAAACTTTAATCATCACTGTCCATTACCTACTGAGACACTTAACATTTAGACTAATACACAGTAGAAAGAGTTTATTCTTGTAATAGTCCCAGCTGTTTTTGCTCTAATGTTGTTAAGGATTACTCTGAACACTCCTGGAGTTTAGCTTATTGATAAATGGTCAAAAAAATAGCCCTCTCTTTTTAATTCACTTTTATTCATCAAAAAGGGCAGAGTAAGGAAAAATAATCAATTGACAATTTGAAATAATACATTTTGTGATTATAATCTTGTTGTCTTAAGGACCACATGTCAGATCTTCCCATAAACTCCTGAGAGGTAAATGTGAGGCTGGTTGTACATTTTGCATTTAAATGTAGATTCGTGTTTGGCACATTCTGCAATCTCGTAAAACTGTTTTAGCAACATTTATGCTGGACTACAGTTGGACATTATTGTATGAGTGTGTCTTTGGCCGAGTGCGCCCACACACTCCGCCATTTGTAATAGGCTTTGGCTTTAGCTGTCTCCGATAAAGGCACCTATCAGGTTTAGTTGAGCTCACGTTGACTTGACTCTACCTGCCAACTCGGTAAACAAACCACACACAGTAGGACAGATGCAAACACACACACACACACACACACACACACACACACACACACACACACACACACACACACACACACACACACACACACACACACACACACACACACATCTATCTTTACCATCTTTCTCTTTATCTCATAGATATCACATTGCATTTTTAATTGGATCATCCACGCGTATAGGTTGTAGGTATTTTGATCTTGTTGTGTCCATTACTGGTAGAGTTACATCAAGATGACAACTTTATTTTCTTGGGTTCAATTTTTCTTCATGTTGTTTACATCCCAAACATACTAATAATAAGTTACAATACTATTATTTATTCTCTCTGAATGTCCTTAACAGCCATCATCAGCTTTAATGTATCAGCTGGTGTGTGCAACAGAGTATTTTGTTGATTTTCATTTTTTTACCCCTAAATATGTGCCTAACAATTTATATTTTTACTATGTCCCTACTGTTTGGTGTATAGTAACAGAGTAGACGTGTCAGCTTGTCAGATCTACAGTAAATCCAAAGTGAAGTAAAAGAACCCAGAGGACAAGCTGCGTTATTGATCTGTAGTTTCTCTCTCCTCTAGTTAATCCAGGGTCGGCTCTAATGACATTGAGGAGCTCCGCTGGCAGTTGGCACTTCTGCCATTTGCAATTTAGATAGAGGGAAAGTGTTTGGGGGTGAAAACGAGGAGGGGAAGTGAAGGAGAAGGGAGACAGGGGATAGGAGTTTGACTGAAAAAAGTCACATGGTAAGGGGGGTAAAAGAGATAGTGAGGAGAGACAGCAAGAGGGTGTGTTCACTGCAGGACAATTTTGGAAGGGAAAGATAGAAAAGACACGTGATGCTTTGATGCCAGTGAGATGGAGGGACTTTTTACGATTTTATGGATTATGCTATATTTCTTAAAACATAAAGCTATAGTTTGACATTTTCGTAATAAGGCAAATGTGCTTTATTGCCAAGAGATTGATATCTGTTTGTCAAATATGAAGTTACCTCCATGCAGCCTGTTAGCTTAGCATAATCACTGGAAATAGGAGAAACGGCTAGTCTGGCTCTGTCCAAAAGAAAAAGATTGTGGCTACCAAGGAGAAGTTGGCCTGTAAAGGGACCATTTCTAATTATTGATGGTGTGTTACTTTGAACTCTTAAAGACAACTTTGTTTTTCTCACATGCTTCCACAGTGAACCGGGGACTATTTAAAACCCTTCCGCTACAACAGCCTTCTTGTATTTAAGGGTATTTCTTTGAGCTCACTAATAACATATCATATTGTTTGTTTATTTTATACCAAAAAAAGTTTGATGGTGGTTACGTGTAGAGCCATTTCCTGCTGGGAAGCAGTGACATCCTGGAGTCTCCTCTGGTGTCCAGGCAAACTCATGGTGACAACAAGACAGGATATAATCTCGCACATAATGTCGAAATGTTTTCTAGTTTTTCCATAAAACAAACAAGAAATAATGTGCTTATATATTAGCTTTACAGGTGCTGGGAGCCGGGTTTCTACCTTCCAACAGAACCAAGCTGGCACACTATTTTATTTTGTGTTTGATTATTGTATTCTTCCAATGATTTTGTTAAGAGGAAAGGGTTAACTGTTTCAGACGTGTGCAGTTATGTGCTGTTTTTTTCACTCACTAAAAGAATTCCTGCGGCCAAACGGGAAGCCGCAGAGGAAAGAGTTGGCTACCCTAATCTTGTGCAGATCCTCTGATAGCTTTCTTCTCCGCAAACAATGCCGGTCAGGAGTGAGGAGGCTCAGGAGGGGTGTTGAAAGACCCGACAACCAGCTATAGCCAAGATCTTTGTCACCCTCTGACTGATCAATGCTCACACATGTTAAATTACTACCAGGAAAAATGTTGGTCTCTTCAAAAAGCTCATGCATCCACATTTTTAACATAACCCTTTCTTTTCAATTGTGTTATGTTACATGTAAAGTTGTTTTTCTATTTCCAGAAGCAAAAAAGCAGTTGTCCATTAGTATACCCAAGAAATGTAATTGACCTCTTTCTGCGTATATCATCTGTGTCTCTGTAAATCTGAATCCATGTCTGTCTGTCTGTCTGTCCATCCATTAACTGTTATATAGGAGTCAAACAATAGGGGTTGACCTGTTTGGGGTTTCCTGAAAAGTTAACCACACGATGAAGTCAGAGTAAAAGAATCCTTTTTCAAAGAGCATCACAGTTTGCTCAGCCTGCGGTAGACTTTAAAAGCTAATACTGCCACCATGATGTCATTACCACAGGACCAGCTCTGCAGCTAATGAGTCAGACACAGCATGAAGTCTCGTAATGTTGTCTACATGTACCAATCTGTCTCTGTCAGTCAGTCTCACTGTCTCTCTCCCTGCGGTTAACACACTAACACCACAACACACTTACTCAAAATGCCAACCCACGTTTTGTTCGTGTCTAAGTTCATGTCTAAAGCAGTATCTATCTCAGAGTATACAAGTTACCTTAGTAAAACAAACGAGGAGCTTTGTTCCTTCGTCGGGCTAAATCCTCCCTCAGCAATTACCGTTCACCTTCCAGAGACCTCGGCGAGGAAAAGAGCAACCCTCTCTCTTTTAAAGCATGCAGTGAAGCATGAAGACACA